ATGAAGACAAAATTTTCCATAAAAATTTTGTTAGAACACCTCAACATATTTGAATGTTTTTTTTTTTTTAATTTGATTCTTTCTTGTTCAGGCTTGTTTAGCAACTTTTCTGTCATGATTTTTTTTCCAAAGGCTACATTCAAGATCAACCAAGCCCATGGATGCAATATCATGTTATTAAAAACTGCTTATCTATCCAATATCATGTTGATAAAAACTGCTTATCCTCTGCATCAATTAGTTTATTTATTTTTATTAATTAACTAGTATATTTAATTAGTTTTATTATTTTATTTTTATTAGTTTTATTATTATTATTTTATTAATTAACTAGTAATTTTTAATTAATTACTATATTAACTACTATATTTAGCACATCTTGTGGCCAGAACCTCTTTGTTTTTGTAAACTTGCATTTATGTGAGTGTGGTCAATATTTAGTAGACTTTTCAACTCATTAAATGATGTCATGATTTCCTCTGCCATTTTTTTTGGTTTAATTGTTTTTATTCTAGCAAGATTTCAAAATGGTAGAGTTGATTTAACTGTTTCATTTGCAGCCTCTTTTTAATTTTTGAGTTAAAGTGTGCAAGAAATTATAAAAACCGAGTAGTTGTTAGCCTACATCCTTGTATATCAATACATCCATATATATTCAATAGGGATAGTTTCTAGTATATAGAAATTTCTTGGGCTTTTGATTAAGCGATTTTTACTCACCTAATTTTTTAATATTTTGATTCTTATATACTGCTTAAAAAAAAGTTTAGAATAAATTATTGGTGTGCTTGTAAACAACACACCAATAATTAATTCTAACAACAAGTTTAAAAAAAATAAATTAACATTCTAGTTAGTGCGATCTGGTAACTACAAGTTTCTCTGAATTATAGACAAATTGAAAAAAATTATGTTGATCTATAAATTTCAATGGAAATCTGATATCACTAAACATGTACAATTTTCTTAAAATTTCAGATTCTTACTATTTATTATGAACTTCACCTGCCAAAAAAAGTCAGGCTTAATAAGAGCACATTAGGGCAGCTTATATATATATATATATATATATATATATATATATATATATATATATATATATATATATATACATATATATATATATATATATATATATATATATATATATATACATATATATATATATATTATATATATATATATATATATATATATATATATATATATATATATATATATATATATATATATATATATATATATATATATATATATATATATATATAATTTAAAGTAGTATGTGTTTCATTAATAAAGACTCATCAGAAATTATTGATGAGTCTTTATTGATGAAACACAATGTTGAAAGAAAAAAAATTTCACTAAGTGATTTCCTACTACTTTTTAATTGCTCTGTCCTAAGAACGTTGAGCACTGTATTTTGTAGAATACATTTTAAAATTGTTTATATAAATATATATATATATATATATATATATATATATATATATATATATATATATATATATATATATATATATACAGGAACAAGTTTTACAAAAAATGAATACTTACAAGGACATTAGCATTTTTGGGGACATTTTTGTGTACCCATTAATTTTTTGTCCCCGTAAGCATTGTTTTTTAGTTAAAAAAAATGTCCTTGTAAGCATCTTTTATAGAAAGCAAAAAATACATACATTGACTATCAAATAGTCTGACTTGCAAAGGAGTGCTGCTACATCGACTGAGGGTTTGGTTAGGGTCAGCATTAAAGTCAGGCATAGGGTTAGGGTTATGGCAAGGTTTAAATATGGTTATATTACTGTAATTAAGCTTTTTTTTAAATTGATGAAAATAAAAATGAATTATAATATATAATAAATTAAAGAAAAAAAAGATAAAGAAATATAAAAAATATATTTTTATAATATATATATATTTATATATATATTTTTATAATATATATATTATATATAATTTATAAATATATATATTATATATAATTTTATAATATATATATATATATATATATATATATATATATATATATATATATATATATATATATATATATATATATATATATATATATATATATATATATATATATATATATATATGTATATATATATATATATATATATGTATGTATGTATATATATACAAAATTTAAAAATATATATTATATATATATATATATTATATATATATATATATATATATATATATATATATATATATATATATATATATATATATATATATATATATATATATATATATATATATATATATATATCAGGGTTGGAAAAAACCCAAGGTTTTTTAAAAAAACCCAACCCAAATGGGTTTTTTTGGGTTTTATTGGGTTTGTTTGGGTTTTATGGGTTTTTTGGGTTTTTTTAAAAATCGATCAAAATACCAAATATTTATAATTGTATGAGTACAATAATTTTTTTTTTAATTTCATAAATTCACCTCCCTATTGCTCCAATGACCATTTCAGTCAAGGGAGCAACTCATTTTTTCAAAATATTTTGTCTCAAACCATTTTTACTAACAAACAACATTAACAATTAAAATTTTTAAACAAAGGCGCTGTGTGGAGAAATAGATTGAGACAGTAATTTCAGCAGAGGTAATTTGTACCCCAACCTTCTGGTTGCGAGCCAAATGTTTTACTACTAGTCTACTAGCACATTTTACCTATAGTGCAAAAAGGGACTCCATCAACTATAAATGATGCTAATTAATTGCTCTAAATTAAAAACATGTTTAGAGTATTTTTGATTAAAAAAAAATCAGTGTAAAAATTATGACAATTGAGTTATTCAAAGTTGGTAAGACAATATAAATGTTGCAAACTAGTTTTTTTTACTAACATGTTCAACATATCATTTCAAAAACTATTTTGCACAAGTTTACAACATATAATCAACAAGTTTTCAACATGATGTTGCAACCTTATAAGTTATTATCAATCAGGATGACTATGAACACTTTTTAAACATTTTTGTATCATAGAAGAAAACTGCTAGCCTAATCACTACTTTTTTTTTTATCAGAACATTAAACTGTACAGCTTCCTGGAAAAGTTATCGGCCTGATCAACTGGACTGGCAAAAAATGGATTTTTGCCTAAACTTTGTTTCTTAAAATATCTAAAATAAATTTGTTAAGAACCATTACAGTGTCTTCGCTACCAAGTTTTTTTTTTTCCTTGAAGATGTTTTACCGGCTCAGTTTCGCAATGCAAATTGCAACCTGAATCAAAGTAACACAGTATATAGCTCTATTGTGTGTGTGTTTCTTCACCTTTTAGCAACTAGATACTGATGTTAATTTTCAACCCGCTGTTCATAGTCACCCCTGTTGGTAGTACATGTTGTAAACTTGTAGCTGATGCAAAATATTCAAAACCTGTCAAAAGACAGATAGCACGAGTGTCATTTTTACCAACAAATCTTGTCCTTGTGAAATGCATACAAGTTTTCAACATGTTCTCTCATTGAATGAGCAAACATGTTGCAAACTTGCTTGCACATAACTTAATTTTTTTTAAGTTTTAAAGTTGTATGCACTTAAGGACAAATCTAGTAAACTGTAGCATTTTTTTTTTGCCTGACAACTTTCCATTTCTAAACTGTAAATAAAGTTTAATAATTTTTATATATAGTATTTTGCTTGTAGCTTTGTATTTTTTTCGTTGCAATTTACAACATAAGCTTTAAAAAATAAAAGATCAAATACCAATATAAAGGAATATAGAAATTCGAGAGGAGAATAAAGATACTAAATAACTAGTGATGTCTTGAAATTTAGTTAATAGAATGATTTTTGTTTCCTTTATAAGTATTTAACTAATTTAATGTTTTAATACATATTTCAATAACATTTATAATAACTTGATAAATGTTTTAAAAAAATAATAAATAACTAACTTGCTACAAAAACAGATTGATGGATTTTGGGTATATTCTAAAGACCATTATGTATATAAATACAGTGTTTACAAGAGTAATTACAGTATAAAGGTTGCACTTGCTGATAATAAAGCATTTATAAGTTTTAAAATCAGAGTTATCAGTTGTAAAATAGGTCATTTTTAAAAAAACCCAAATATATTTTGTTTTTTTTGGGTTTTATTGGGTTTTTTTAAGGTGGGTTTTTTGGGTTTTTTTTGGGTTAGGTTTTTTTGCCAACCCTGATATATATATATATATATATATATATATATATATATATATATATATATATATATATATATATATATATACAAAATTTAAAAATTATTTTATAACTAGGCTGACCATTATTCCCATTTTTATATAGAAGAGTGCAGTGCTAAAGTAATTTTGAATAGTTTAGCACGGCACTCTTCTACAAAAAAACTGTGACAATGGTCCTCCTTTTGATAACTATCTAGTATGGTCTTCTGCTTAGGATTCTTGTGTTGTTAATAACTCGATATAGCAATTAATACATTTTGTAATAACTAGATATAGCAAATGTTTAAACTTTTGTTAATAATAGTTAATAAAAAGTTATACAGTTAATAAAAAATTATTAGCAACAGTTAATAAAAAATTACTAGCAACAGTTTTATATCAAAAATAATAAAAAGACCCAAATTCTGTTGATGTTATAGTGGCTGTAAAATTATTTATTTTTTAAAAAAATGTTTTTTTTTTTTAAAGGGTTATAGAAGGTAAAATTAAAAATACCAAACTCAAAATACCCTAAAATGCCTAATATAATATAAAGTTATTTATTTTAATATGTCAATGTATATACCTTTACAATATGCATATTAAATATAAAAAGTTTTTTATGAATGGATTCCTATAAATTATAGATATATAATTTTTCCTGAAAATATGTTGTGAAAAAATAGTAATAGGTAGAAAAAATTAGTATTTAAATATTATTAAAATTTATAGTTGGTTATAGTTAAAAGTAGTTGTAATGTAACAATAAAATATTATTTTAAATATATTATTAACATAATTTTTAGCAAAAACAAATATAATATTATCATTATGTTATATAAAATAACTGTATCAGATGCAACAAAAGATGGCGATATTGTTAAGTTTACTGTTCAGAGTAAACTTATGGTAAGTCAGCATTATTTTTAAATAATATTTTAACCTTAAAGAATGAGACCACAGTTACAAATAAAATTTTTAAAAAAGTAGAATTATATAAAAAAAAAAAACCCTAAAAAAAAATTGATTCACTCACAGATATATATATATATATATATATATATATATATATATATATATATATATATATATATATATATATATATATATATATATATATATATATATATATATATATATATATATATATATATATATATATATATATATATATATATATTTATATATATATATATGTATATATATATATATATATATATATATATATATATATATATATATATATATATATATATATATATATATATATATATATATATAATATATATATATATTTTTTTTTTTATTTTACTTAATAAAAAAAAATATATATTTTTTTATTTTACTTAAAAAAATATATATATAATATATATATATATTTTTATTTTACTTCACCTCCTCAAGGCCGAGAAGGCCACTACAAACGAGGAGGCTACTTATTTTGTGGCTATAACCCTCTCTCAACTCTATAACTCCGAAACACAAACCTTGACGAACAAGGCCGCTGCGCTGAGAAACGAGTTGAGCGCGGTACTACCAGGGACGTGGTGGGGATCGAACTCGGAACCACTCGTTTATGAAGCGAGCGCTCTACCACTACACCACTACCGCATAATATATATATATATATATATATATATATATATATATATATATATATATATATATATATATATATATATATATATATACATTGATTCACTCGCAGATATATATATATATTGATTCACTCACAGCTATAAGAAACTAGAAAGAATATACAAAATGGAAAATCTAAATAAATTAAATAAAAAAAATTAAAAAAAAATTAAAAAAAAAATGTCAAAAAAATAATATACCTAAATATTTTACTGTTTTTGTTATCTTTTTTTTAGGGCGTTTGTTCTTTTCCACTACCAAAATTTATATAAGTCAAGAAAAAAAGTATATAAGAATGTAACAAAAATAAAAACATTTTTTGATATACATTATTTTTGCGAATTTTTTCAGTCATTTTCAATTATTAAGGAAATACTTTATTATTAGTGCTAGAAATATTGACAATTTTTAAATTTGTTTTTCAAATGTTTTTGCTTTTTTTTATCAATCTACGGGAAAGCAAGAAAACTAACTGCAATTTATTTATATAATTTTTTTTTTAAATCGAGTTTTTCATGTAAAAAAATAAAAAGTCAATACTTATATTCAAATATAAAATATTTGGTTCTTTTCACTACCCCTATTTAAATAGTTTGTACTTTAGTTGGATTATCCAAATTGTGAATTTAAATCCGATAGTTGATTTCCTGATGATATTGTTATTGACGATGCTCCAAAATCTTGTGTGAATTTTCTGAACTTTTAAACAAAATTTTTAGGAGCCTGTTTACGTTTTTTTAAGTTTTTAAAAACATATTTTCAAACAGAGCATCCATTAAGTTCATTATCTCTAGTAATTCGTATTAATGTTGGAAATTGGGCAATTTAAAGAAGTAACTTTAGACGATTGTTAAATGCGTAAATACATTTATAAAAGAAACTATGTTGTTCTTTTATTTAATTTGTTCTATATTTGTAACATATTATTTTATTGTTTATTACAAAATTTGTTAATCAAATAATATGTTATACAGACCAAGGATTCGCTCAGAAAATTCTGAGCAGCGCTTAATTTGTCATTCAGCAGCTTTTTATGAACGGACGCTTACAAATCTGCTCATAAAATTTCTTGAGTGGGCGCTCTGCTTTTTCGCTCACAAATCCGCTCATAAAAAAGTTTCAATAACTTTCCTAATATTCGCTCTTTAAATTCAGAAAAGTTTTTAAACTAACTACTTTAAAAAATGAAAGTGAAACAACGCTAAAAGTTAACTGCAGTATTAAAATTAAGAAGTTTCTCTGGCTGGCTACATAAATGTGCTGTTTTAAATATTAAGTTAAATATTTGACCGCTAGATGGCGCATTTCAACATGGAGTTCAATTTTTCAATATTTGGTTCAATACTAGTTCAATATTTGGCTGCTAGAAAGCATAGAATGAGCGTAATTTTTAAGCGCTATCAAAAAAGCGTTCGCTCACGCTCACGTTCATCTAAATTTGACATTGTTCACGCTCACGTTCATCTAAATTTGACGTTGTTCACGCTCACGCTTCCCTTAGAAGTTTTGAGCGCCCCTCATGAGCGAGTTCAATTTGAGCGGCGCTTGTCCTGGGTCTGATGTTATACAATTTAATAGCAATTTATTTTCTATTTAATTTATTTGTAATTGTAGAAAAAATGTCAAATATAGCAAAAACATTTTTTAAGCGAATAGATATGAAAACGAATAAACGTAAGAAAAAAATTAACAAAATTTCTCATTGTTTTAGAGTACATAGCAAATTAGTTTCTTATATACGGACTGATAAAAACCATGAATAAATTGCATATCACTTTCACTTGTTAAAGTTTTATAAAAGATAATATATATTTTTTTACCAATTTGAATTAAATTTGGTAGCTAAAAATAACAACTACTCTAAAAAAAAGAATACAAAAGTTGTATAAAAATTTTATAAAAAAAATTTCTTAAAATTTTCATGTTTTAATCATTATGTTTTCTATTTTATTTAATTAAAACTTAATACTTTGTTACGATTTTGTTTTCTTTTTTTAGGATTGTTTTTTTTTCTCAGTAGATAAGTTTGGCTTTTTGACGCGAATTATTGAAATTCTTTATAAGTTAAAAAATGTGAACTGCCGTGGTCAGTGTGTCTAAAAAAATTCCTTCAAACGTGGACAAACAAAGCATTCAGTTGCACGCACTTCTCAGGAACGCTTGATGTATATAAACCAAATTAATAATTAAAAGCTTTTGTACCCTTTAGGCTTAAAAATGTGCTGTTATTGAGACTCAGGCTTTTAAAATAAATTAAAGGAAATAAAAATCTGAAAATATATTATAAAATTAAAATAAAAATGGCGTAATTTTTTACATTCAACACTCCAGACAAGAAAATTAGTTTTTGTTCTGTTTTTATAGCTTTTTTTAATTTTTCAGGTTTTAAAGGGCCATTTTAAAAAGTTTTCCCACAATATGTACATTTACAAAATAACACTTCCAGTTTCTTAATTAGTAAAATAAACTTGTTTTGTGTTAATTTATTTTATCGCGGTAGTTTATAAAAGTTAATGTCCTTAAATAATTTTAAAAAAATGTAACGTTTATGACCTCAAAATCTCAAAGACCTAATGGGGTAAGCCATTTTTTATTTGAAACAAAGCCTGATATCTATTTCTAAAAACATGATTAAAGATTAAAAACAAATTTATTATTATTGCAATTTTATTTGCATTTTTATAAACATTTTACTAAATACAGCTATGCTAACTCCAAATTTTTCTTGTATTTTATTTTTGATAAAGTTAATTTTCAGTTAATAATGATTTATTAACGATTTTTTGAGTATTCACCTTTTTTATAAAAATTTCTTAGAATTAAAATTTGGTCAATCGTTTTATTTTTGTTTATTATTTAGAATGATGAAGAGTCTTTAGAAAATGACACTGGCAAAATTGTGTTTCGTCAATATGAGGACTTTGTATACTTATTGCATTTACTAACAACAAAAAATAATGTTGCTGGAGTTGTTGTAAGTTGTTTAATTGTTACTTTTTTAGATATTTGTATATTTTTAAAAAAATGTATTATTGATCAGAAATTCTCTAAGGTTTTTATGGAGATTTTTATTTTCAGGATTTTTGTGTGCAAATTTGTTTAAAAACTGTTGCTTTTATTAAACAAGTGCCAATACATTTGTTGCCTTTTATTTTTTAATTTTTTTTTTATTTCAATTTTTGCTTTTTTCCAAAATTCTTTCAAAACCTTTTTTCTTAAATCTTGTGCATTTTCAACTTTTTTGGTTTTTAAAATTTTTTTTTGCAATAAAATCTATATTAAGGTAATTCAATAAACAACATTAAAAAAAAATGTCTGCTGTACGCCCTTAATGTGTTCAATATAAACTTTTTTTTTATTGGGAAAATATTTGAACAAAAGGAAGATTACATGCAATTACCAAGAGACTTGATATATTTTCAGTGATAGTTTTCTATTGAAAACTTCTTGAAAGATTTTTAGTGAAAGTTTTCTTTACTTATGTTATCTTTCTTACGTTAACTTTTATTACTACGGTAACATTTTATTGCAAAAACAATAATTAAATAGTTAAAAAAAGTGTTCTATAAAAACAACATATGTGTTCTTTGATTTAAAAGCCTTCGACTTAATAAAATTCAACGTTTTAATTTTTTTAATCTAAACTTAATTTCTATAAAAAAACACTGTTACTTAAAAATTTCAAATATTTTATGTTGTATAAATTAAACATCAAAATTATAAAAAGGCTCAATAAAAATGTTTTAAATTTGCACCCAATAACAAAGTGAGTGTCCTTGTCTCAAACATTAAACTTAGGTACTCCTTGTCTCAAACAGTCAACTTTGATACATATGCTGTGCTCTAAATAAAATAATTAATATAAAGTTTTTTTGTGTTAATATTTAATTTTGGAAAAACATATTATTTTTATGGTTTTACTAATTCAGGTTGATCTTTTATTTATTTTCAGCAGTTGCAATCCCAGGATCCCGAAATCCCCAAGTCCCGACACTTTTTATAATCCTGATTCCCCGGATTGTCTAATATCAATCCCGGGATTTCCAATGAGATTGAATAAAACAAAGTGTAATGAAAAAATATATAAAAATAGCAACAATTTATGCTTCTCAATAAAATTGTTTAAAAATAGTATAAAAAAGCAGAAAATAGCTGTATTTTCAGTTATACAATAAAAAAGTTATTGAAAAGATTTGATTCTGCAAAATAAATTTTATTCAAACTGAAAAAAAAAGCGTGTTTCTTATATGTTTGACTTAAAAATAAAAATCAAATAAGCATGATGTATGTGGATTTTACAATTAAAAATGACTCAGCTGTTTGGAAATATTTTCTACAGGATGAGAAAAGCCAGACAGCTGTTTAAATTGCTAAACTGCAAGAAAATTTAAAAAATTGAAGGTGATTCAACAAAAGGATTTCATATACGTGTTTTGTTGGTGCATAATGTGAAAGTCAAAATTCTAACCCAACCTAACATTATCAAAGAAAACACATCAGATTTACCACCAAAAAAGAAATCTAAACTTCTAACAGAATACTTTTCCATTTATGAAAGAGAAGATAAAACACTTCATGCTACACTTGCTCGCCTAATGACGTCTAATGTGATTTGTTCTTTAACTGACTAATGGATGTCAATTCAAAGTTGTTGCTACATGAATATTTATGTTTGAACTCACTTCTTGAGTTTTGATTTAGTGTGAATAACAGGTTCAGTGCCAGCAGAAAATTACATTGAACTATTAGAAAAAAAACTTAAAGACCATTTTTGATCTACACAGCAACATTGGGCTATAATGACCGACGGATTTAGTTGTTTATTTGCTTAAACTTTAAAAATTATATCCAACAGAGATAGAATAATATTTTTTTTTATATTTGATGTTGGTAATTTGTGTCACTTGAAATAGATTGAGCAATGAAAGCCCATACAGGGTTCCCACACCTCCTTAAAAACCATAAATATCCTTAAAAAATAAAAACCTCCTTAAATGTCCTTAAATAACTTTAAAAAAAGTTAAAATTTGACTGCTCTCTTTAATTACTCCTTTTTTTTTTTATTCATCTAGAAAAATTTTTTAAAGTGAATGGATTATACTTGTTAATAAAGAAGATAGTGTGTAGATTTTTGATAGTTTTCAAACCTATTTTTGTTATTATATATATACTAGCAGTAAACAACCCGTAATACAGGTTAGTAGTAAATAAATCATTACTAACAATTTGATCTTTATTTACTTTCTCTAATGAAATATAAATTTATTTATACATTTTTTTAGTTGAGCTCACTTTTATTTTTCTTGGCTTCTTAGTTTAAGAGAACTCTTAGCTTCATTAAAGATAAAGTTAAATATTTCTTTTGCAATGTTCAGACATTGAATGCGCAAATCACAACCATGTAGTAGTTAAAAATGACTTGAATTATATGCACAGAACATCGATGTCAAATTTTCAAATTCCGTAAAATTGTTTAGGTAAATATTGGGAATATATTCTACTCTTAATTTTGCTTTAAGCTGAGTCGTTTCTTTTTTTTTTAAACTTTTCATTTTACTGAGTGAAGAGCTTAAAAATATGTCACTATCGCACCTAAACTTTTCAATATTATTTATATACTTTTTAAATATTTTTAAAATATCTAAAATATTACACCCAAACTTGTAGGCATAGAAGTTGGATATCCGGAAAAACTATAAGTTGAAAAATATATCGCAATTCCGAAAAGGGCCCTGCATCCTGTATTATTATGATAAAGATTATTATTAAACCAATCTTTTTTTTAATTAGTAATCCAGCAGAAACTGGTTTATAAAAAAACAATAAAGGAATATATGGATTTACTTTAATAGCTAACGTGTATCAACATATTTATTTCAGCATACATCCAATCCATATTTATACTAATTTTATAAAATGTCCGGAATACATTTTGCCTTAACTTGGCGTTAAATTTTTAGTTTTATTTCATTAATTTTTGTATAGATCAGGTTAATAATAAAAGCAATTGGATTTTGCTCAATATTTTTGAAGTAATTATTCAGCTTTAATAAAATTGATAAAATCATATAAGACAGTTAAAAAATATATTTAAACCTTTGTTCACTTTTTGAAAATCCGTAAAAAAGCAAGTATCAAATTTACATATCTTTAAAAGAAATTTATTAACATGATATATAGTTAAATATGTAACAAAAATATTTTAAAACAGAAGCATATATAAAACACATTTTTCTTAAAGAAACAAAGTTGAAGCCACCATTTACAGCACCGAGAAGCCAAGCATAGCCTATTGTAAAGAAAACCATATCAAATAATTTAAAATATTTATTACCGATAGGGACGACAATTAAACATATTTAAAAAGCTACGTGATTCCATATTAGTAGGATTGTTATAGAAAAGTATATTAAAAAAAAGTGTATTAAATAGAAAACAGATTTTTAAAAACTACCTAATTTTATAAGCATTTTGCCAATGGTGTTCAATTTTGAAACCAATATCTTTAATGGAAAGCCGACTTGTTTAACTAATCTCATTCAAAGAATAAAATTATTAACATTTAAAGATAAATAAAAAAAAAAAAATGAATGAGATATAAACAATCGTACTATAGTGTTATATAGATAAGTAGATATATATGAAAAAAACAACAACAACTGGAAAACAGTATACCTGCTTTTGATAACCTATTGTGATACTGCAGCAGTTGCTGTAGGGATGCAGCTGTTCTTTTTGGTGTTGTTCAAAAATGTAATTTTGATGTTGGCTTTTAGTAAACTTTAGTTTAATTTAAAAGACATCACAACGGATTTAAATAACTATAATAAAATACTCATAATAAAAAAAGCAAAACATAAAATGCTTCAAGGAGCCAAATTATAAACATAAAAGATGAAGAATCGAATCGAGATAAATAAATTGTATTTATATAGCTAAATATATTGCCTTGGATTTTGGTAAATTTTAAAAGCAGTAAGTTCAATAAATGAAACATACCAAATAATTGTTTTTAACAAAAGAATGCAGCATCATTATATTATGATAATTGGATAATGAATCAATTCAGCTATATTTTGAAATCAGGTTTAATTAATGAGAAAACAATTGAAATTTTCATTAAGAAAGATCAAAACAAATCAAATATACATAATATATATTAAAAAAAAAATTACAAAATTAAAATTAAAAAAAATTACAAAATTAAAAAAAAAAACACTGAAGAAAAAGCAGCAACCAAAGAGTCATAAATATCTCTACTCATAGAAGACATTTACAACCTTTTGGTTGCTGTTTTTTCTTCGGTGTCTCCCAACACCCTGGTATGGATGAGCCCTCCATTTAAAGGAGGGCTCATCCATTCCACCATTATCTTTCCATTTGTTGAAGGACCTCTCCTGGGTGTTGGAATTTGAATTTAAATTTCAAATTTGATTCATTTCTCCTAAATAATTATAATCTGGAATAGCATTACTTCTCGCTATAGAATACATTCGTCCTTGTCCAACAGCTCTTCTTTCATTTTGGCGGCAATTAACGTTTTCTCGATTAAGCCTATCTTTCATTTTGTAAATGATTAATTTCATCTCGCCTAAGTCTATTTCTTTCATTTCGTCTACGACTATTTTCAACACGCCTTATTTCTTTCATTTTGTAAATGATTAATTTCATCTCGCCTAAGTCTATTTCTTTCATTTCGTCTATGACTATTTTCAACACGCCTTATAGCACTTACATCATTTTGTAAATACATAACTTCATCTAGCCTATCATTCATTTCAATGTCATCATTTTTAATAAACATATTTATCAAAGCAACACTAATTATTTCTTTTTTTTTACTACTCTAAAGTTAACAATAAAATAAAAAAACTTAATAAATAACTAAAAAAATCTTACTCAAAAAATTAAAAAAAAAAATTCTCAAAACAAATGTATAAAGAATCCAAACTAATGCAAAATAAAATTAATTTG